ATTTATTTTCATCGAGTGGTATGAAAATAAATATTTCATGAGTGGCGGTAGCCACGAGTGAAATATGGTAATTTTCATGCCACAAGATGAAAATAAATCATGTATTTATAGAAAAAACTTGAATTTTCTGTTTATTATATACATTTTTCTCTTTCAGGACATTAAAATTTGCAAGACTTTCCCTTAAATTTTGAATACTGGCAGAATTTTTTAAAAAAAAGTTGTCCGGCAAGACACCAGTGAAAATACGGAAAATATGTTTCACTGCAGTGAAAAATAAATTTTTACAGTGAAAATACGGAAAATGAAAATACGCATTTTATTTCATCAATATTTCTCAATATTTCATTTAAAAGTATATAATAAAAAAATTGTTCAATGTTTAGTGAATGAACTCACATATTCAATTATACCTTTATGTGATTTCCTTTTATTCTACGAATAATTCAAAGACAATATTTGAATCATGTTAAGTATAGATATAACGTGATTCTGCTGTACAAACATTTCACATGTAATTAGGTTAGGTGCTCAAGTCAACGACTTCTACACTAAGTGATGCATAGACGGGCTGTACTTTTTTGGAGGAGCAACTAGACCGAATACTAGTACGTTATCATAAGGTAGAATACTATGTGAACGACACTTGACAGGAAACCAAAGGCTGGTGGACTATTTTTTTCAGTTCTAAATTAGTCTACCTTTACTGCATTTGGTCTCGATGTCTTTAAACTTGCAGTGGGTGAATTCAAGCCCGCGAGCGTGATATTTTGTTTAGTAACACTTTTTTCTCGGACCTTGCTTTCCACAGACATTTATTTAGGACTCCGTGTTCGTTTTCAATTTAAAATGATTTATTTTTCCAGGTTCTCTGGAAGCCAGGCAAGTAATTTACCTACAAATAACAGCATAATCAAAAAAGTTATTTAATGATTTACACAGTAAACTAATAGTAATCTTAATTAATACTTTTTTGGTTACATTGAAAATTGCATGTGGGCGGGGTAGTTACAAGTAGGTGTGGTTTAAAAAGTGGGCGGGATTTGGATACAAATTGACAAGAGAGAAGAAAGCATTGTGACATCGGTTTATTGATCAGATATTCCCTAAATCCTGTATGCAATGTAATATAGTACACTAATATATTCATGGAGATAATTATATATGGAAACAAAATATAACAACATAAATGACATCAACTTAAAAAAGAAAATAGTTCTGTTCTGCACTGCCAACATTTAAAACATATATATTTCATTATAAAAAATGTTATATCTTTTATATAATTTTTTCAAATAAACTTTTTATAGTGCTCTAATATTGTCTTTTTCCATATAAAAAATCACAGTGTAACGTTAAGTATTTTTGCACAATTAGGAATGCTGACTTTGATAGTACATGTATTTCTTGTTCACAACTCAATGTACATGTATAGAGTATATACAATATTATGTTAATCATAATTAGTTAGATGAGATATAAAAAGAAAAAAATCATTGATACTATTAATATTTTTAGCTATTTTACTTGTCATAAAACCTTTATAAACTGTACTAAATGATTATAAAATATTCAAATTGAAAAAAATGCCAGATAAGGTTTTTTTTTCTTTTGCAACCTGATTTTCATTTTTTTTTCAAAATGACACCTGCATCATACACAGGTTCAAATTACAACTTTTAATTAAGTCCTACTTGAAACCATTTCTGCAGATTTTCTGTTACTTTAATAAAATGAATATTTCAGTTTCCAACTCAACTTTACAGTTAAAACACAAATTATTCTTCTTGTATATTTATTTTCTCAATCTCAATAAAATCTGCTGTTTAATTTCCACTCCAACAGTCTACACTTAAAAGCAAAAGGTAGTAGTGGAGACACAAGTAGTAATTAAGTAGAGTGTCCTGTTAGGAGCATGACTTTAATTAGCTTGTAATATACATGTATTTTCTATAACTTTTTTTCCTTGAGTATAAAACACGATTCTATATTACATAATACAAAAAAATATATATAAAACAATCAAGTCAATTCACAGAAAAATACATTACACAGTATTATTATTTATATATTAAAGAATTCTAATTCATTATTTATCCATATTTTAAATTATATTACATTATTACATATATATATGTTACAAATGTCAATTATAAATGCACATAATATTGATTTAATTCATTAATATTTATCAACAAAATCAAAGGAGTTCATCACAAACAAAAAAGCTTTTACTTAAATACGCTAATGAAATTAATTCCTTATCTACATTATATATAATATTAATATGTAAATTTAAGTTTTTCTTGAATCATAAACATTTCCTTTGTTTATACAATATTAATATGTAAATTTAAAATTTTCAAAAATCATAATTTACAACCATAAAGAAATCAAGCTTATACGAGTAAGTTTATAATATTTCTACACATAATCAAGAGTTATGGGTCTTTAAATCTATTTTAAATTTCCTTTTTTGTCCACATATAAAACTTTTTTTTATCTATTGAACGGTTATAACATAACTTAAACCTATGTAAAAAATCAGATAGCTTATTTGGTTACAGTTATTATCTATATTTGAATATCTACATAAAAAATCGTCTTACAAAGTAGACTTTATGTATATATAGATTTATCTAAAAACAAAATCAACTTATAATAACCAATCAGTGAATGTAAATTCTTAAATTCATACAACCACTATCACTGTAATTTCACACTTGTTTGCTTTTCCAATCAATTTCATGTCATAAATCAAGTAAAACTACATAAATTTTCTGAAGAAAAAAAATTACTAAAATCAAAATTTATAGGTATGTATGTATATAATTTTATGTATCAGCAATCACTGATAGAATTATCTACTTTTTTATTCTAATTGTAAGTATCATTTAATTTGCATAAATCTCTTATGTTTTAGCATTCACATGATTTTAGCTTTAATATATCTCTATATTTTAGCAAATTTATCCATTACTTTACTTATAGCCACAATGCTGTGAAGTCTGTAATAATACTGGCAACTTATTCATAAAAAATCTGGAAAAAAATTTGTAATATAAAAGCAACCTCATAAATATCAACAAAACTTTTTGTTTGTTTGTTTCAAACAAAAATAAATAATTATTATATGACACTAACCTGCAAATATCTTCTAAAAGAAAACTTTTATCACAACCAAACTAGTTTTAAAGAGAGAAATTCTGTTTATAAAGAAAAATTCTTCAAGATTTGCATAATATAACAGTCAGAGTCATGACAGTAGATTATGAAGCCTGGGACCAGAAGCTGGGAACCAGTGCATTGCAAATGGAATTCTATGATTGGTCGATTTCAAATTCAGCATTAACCAATCAGATGCAAGAGTCATGAGTAAGACTGGTTCCAAGTTTCTGTTTCTTGGCAAAATATTCAAGAAAACATACAGCTTCATATTTATTTTTTATTATATATAAACTTTATATGTACCGGTACTGTCTCACTGGTTTTGTATCCCTTTCTCTATACCCATTAAACGCATATATTATCTTAATATATCCATCAATACATATTTCATACACTACATGTGTAAAGTATTTTATATGCACATGCCATACACCAACTGTGTATACACATAAATGTACATAAATCCCTGCTGGGAGCCTGAAACCTATTACATATTCAGGTAATTCTTACGTACTACAAACCTTATTTGTAACACAGCCTGAATTCAGCAATCAAAGTTTTTACTTGATCTTCCTGTATATATCCTTTCGAATATAACAATATATAAGTATATTATATGTTAACTTTTATATACTATATCCACATTAACTCATCTTTAATCACCTTAATTCCCTTCTCTACAACAAGTTCTATTTAAAACTAATTTACCATAAACCTCAACCATAATAACCCCAATTCCTTAAAATTACCATAATCCACTATAATAGTGATATTGTATTTCGATGTTTCGATATGTATCCCAAATGTAGGTCATTTGCCATAATGTTTTTTTGATTATAATGATTATTTAAATATATATGATTATAAAAATAATGTAACTGGCTAAAGTACCCCATATTATATAATTTGTAATTATACATAAACAAGACACAATGGACAAAAGAATACACAAGTATGTTTTATCTACAACTTTTACATTGTATATGAATGTATTTTGACATCATCAAAGAAGTGAAATGTACATATTTACATAAAAATGTAGATGTTCCATGTAAAATATACATAACTTCCATCAGAAATACATAAATTCCAAGTGGACCACTCAAATTCCCTGGGTTTTTTTCCCAGTGAACTTTGTTGCAGTTTCACTTTTTCACACAAAGACATTTAGATATCATACAGGACTATGTACAATCGAAACAAACAAATGACCTACTTAGGATCGAAAGTTTTACCTCTTTTTTATATTCATGAAACGAACCTTGCAACCATATTTACACCATCTTACCACAACTAACAAGTACCTTTCAATCTAAAATCTACACTTTAAACTACATTTCTCATAATTCCTTCGAACCAATTTAACCCCCAATTTTTTTCGTATGACAGACTTACTATATCTTTATGAAGATCAGGTCAGCATCATGAGAATTTTTTTAAATCTTTGACCTAGTTGCCAAATGACATTGATAATAATCGTTTGACTGGCAACCCTAAATAACACCCCCCAGCCCCAATAAACCCCACCCTGGGACAAAGTCCGAGCCCCATCAAATGATACAAAATCTTCTTATTCTAATAATTCTTCAATACAAAATACCACTTCAAATACACTCAAAAACTGTTTTTTTTCTCCCCTAACTCATATAACAAGCTGTGAAGCTGTATGTTTGCTTGAATATGCCATTTTTTAACAAAATGTTTAACCAATTAGTACAAATTTATTTATTTCTGACAAAAATTGAGTAAATCTATATCACTGATTTTATTCATAAAAATCAATGAAAAGTAATGTATTCATTTACAAATAAAAGCTATTAAAAAAAAAAACGAAATTGAAATTTCATTGGCACAAGGGCATAACAATTAGCAATACTTTCTTTTTAATTTATACATCTGCAGTTCAAAATAAATTCAAATTTTAAAATTGTGGTATCAAACCACTAAATTGCCATTCGGCAGGTGGGTGTACATAACTTCACTTTTACGTGATGTGACCTAATAATGCTTCAAAAATAATTTCATTGAAAACAAGTAGTGTCCAAGAATGACAAACCATTTAGAGAAATATTTGTTGTTCAGTTGAAAAGTGACAAGGTTATGCCACAATTCTATTTATCTCTAAAAATTATTAAGCTTTCAGCATTTGTAAATTCGTTAAGTATGTCAATATATTTTTTTTTCATACTCGAAAAATATTAACATCTTAAGCCTTATATTTACACATACTTTTAAATTAGATTTTTTTTTCCAGCGAATATTTTTTGTTCTTGAAAATATCATACGCACTGTTACATGTCAATGTGGAAAGTCTATATTCATTGAACAATGAGTTGGGTTGTTTTTATTTTTTTTTTTTTATAAAAAATAAAAATGTGAATTTAACAGAAATATATCTGTTTTTGATTTTAATGCTTTTGAGTATGCAATAATGAATAAATTTATTATTTTTAACACATAATATTCTGTCCTTATTTTAAATAAACACTGCAAAAATTATATTTTTCATTAGTGTTTTTTTATAAAAAAAATTTTAATTTGACAACAGCACTATAAAATAATAAAAACTTGGTCCAATATCTGTGCACCAACTTTAATAAATGAAGGAAAAGATAACTCTGGAGCACTTATACTGCTTTTTTTATCAGGTGAATATATAAATAGCACCTGTAAAAAATAAATCAACAGTATATTAAAGTGCACACACATATATATAAAATAGTCTAGTTTTCACAAATATTCACTAAATGCATCACCTTAGTGCAATAACTGGTTAACTCCTATTTAAATTTAGAAGGACTTAACCCATTACTGCACTAAGGTGACACAACATATTTGTAATCAGGTAAAGAGCACCTGATATTATTTGTATATACATGTATAGTACGACGAGGATTTTATGAAATAAACAAGAGCTGCCCGTGGAAACAGCTTGCTCGACTATTCTCAGTGGTTAACTATAAGAAATGGGACATAACTCTGTAAAAAGGCACGTCAGAGTTATGGAAGCTATGCCTATCATGTAAGATAATCACAGAGAACAGGCGTGTAAAGTTTCGACCTATATCCATCAGTAGTTTTGGAGATACTAACTTGCACGTAAAAACTGAACCAAAGTTAAACAGTGATGTCGACAACAGGGCCAGTACAATAGCTCTCCCTTTTCTTCAAATAGTCAAGCTAAAACTAATCCACAACGATAATCATTTAATTAATCGTGCATAAATGTCATATCAAATAGTGTGTTGAATAGGTGCATGAAATAGCACCTGCGGAAAAAAAACACACACAAAAATAAATGTAACCAGTAAAAGATTGCTTCCTTACGAACAGGCACCTGAATTGCAGTGTTATGAAATTTACTAAAAATAACCCAAAAAGGTCACATGACATGGTCACATGTCCATTAACTATTTGTGCCAGCACTACTTTTTTTTTTACAAAATGACAATGTCTAAACTGTATATCGTACAGTTTTTTTCCAATTTTGTGCATTTTTACTACCTAGAAAATATCACCTTATAAATCATGTACCTACTAAATGTATGCATATATACATGTATATATATATATATAAATGAATGATTACAATGTCCTCTTCTGTATGTATCACATGATTGTGTTATGTCAAAATATCAATCTGTTTTATGAACGAAATCGACGGTCCATGCTTGTTCACTTCTTCTTAGATAATTTCTTTTGTTCTTTTTCTCTCTGTTTTTGTTCTTTTTCCATTTGTTTTCTTTCTCTCTCCATTTGTTTACGTTCCTTTTCTAGTACAAGCTTCAGCTCTTTCACTTTCTTCTTCAAATATTCTCTATCTTTAGCAACAGTCACACCTAAAGCCTGTAATTAACAATTATATATGTCTGTCTTTAGTTGCGGGGAAAAATTAAAATGGACGCTAATGGCCACCATAAATTTACGTAAAAAAAACTTTAAACTGTGTTCATCAATGTCAAGACTTGAAAATAGAAGCACATTGATTTAGAAAATATGTACAGTACCTTTAATTTGTTAGAATCCATGGCAACGAGTTGAGGTCCGGTTACAGACTTTTCTGTGAATAATGGAGCGTATCTTTCCATCTCTATACCAATCAACCAGTGACGTACATTCTCATTGTTCCACTCTGTTATTTGACCGGAACTAAACTGGTTTAATGTATGATGACCTGGCTGTGAGGGATGATCCTGAAAATTGGTGGAAAAATAAATTTTAGCACATCGCACAATACAATTTTATGTACCAATTCATTATGTACAAAATATTTTTTTATCATAAAATTTGAAAAATAAGGAATAAAGTTTTAAATCAAATTGTGTTATCCTAAAAAACTTTTTTTGTTTGGGATTTACATTGCAGTAGAGATCATATGACTTTCCAGCTTTACTTGTACTGGAAGACCTCAGGTGCCCTTCTGTGCATTATTTTAGATCTGAATGCCGATGGGCGCCAAAGTAGAACCACTGATGTTCTGTGTAAACTAGTTGGATAGCTTCCTCATATGAAAGAATCTAAAGTCCCTGGCAAGATTCCAACTCACAACAGTGCCAGGTAAGTAGTATAAACTCAACACCCTTATCCACTCGGCCATGATGTTTTTTGAAGAAAGAGTTTATATATATTAAACTTATATAACAACAGAAGGGGTACCTCATTAGCAGGTGTTCCTGAGAAACTGTATGACGTTTGCTCCATCTCTCCAACCATATACCCCGATGATGAATCACTAATTGTACTAGCACCTGAAATATATACGTAACATACTCTACAATTTCTGTAATTTTTTTGTTATTTTACAAACAATCCTTAGAACAGGGCGAAGTGGAAGCCCCAGTGATACAGTGAAATTATTCATACGGTATATAAATACAGATACATGTAAATGGAAGTGTACAGTAGTAGTATCACATTTGAAAACCTACAACGACGAGATCTTATTTCAGCATTACTTTATAATTATGAGCAAAATCTGGCACCAGAGAAGCACAAACTTCTGTTACCTAGTTGGAAATCTTATGATTTTTTTTTTTAAATAAAAATTCTTTAGTTAAATAACTGTTGTTTCCTTTGGTTATGCCTTTAATGATTTTTGTAAACTTCTGAATCTAAAATTTGAGATTTTGACTGTAAACTCGGCACTATACATGTGTTTAAGTCTCTATGTTTTGAAGTTTTTTTTATGGAATTATCTTAAACTTCAACTTAAATAAGTTCTACTGTATTTAATTTTATTATGTCTAAAATTAGGTCTAAAATCTATAAATAATTGTTTCTAGAAAGTGTCCTTAAAATGTAAAAGTACGATAGGATGGCTAGTACATATACAGTAGAACTTCTATGAGTCGAACTTCGATAAGTCGATTTTCTCGATGTGTCGAAGAAAAATTAAAGTCCCGACTTTTCCCCCTATATATTTCTTATAAAAACCTATTTATGAGTCGAGATTTTATGTGTCGAATTTTTCGATGTGTCGATCTCGACATTTTTCACACCTTATCTGGCTGCGAAGACGATTTCCAATCAACTTGTGTGACAGGTGTTAATTACACAGTCGTGTGTTCAAACAGCCTTTGTTTGCGATAAAATATGTGATAAAATGCTTTAATCGTTACTATTTTAATTGCCGTAGTGGTATTTGAAAGTAAACAGTAAGAACTACTTTCATTTGATTACATTCCTTGACCCGGTGTCGCGTGAGAATAACACGCGAAATATATACTATAAGTTGGTTATGTTATCGCCCTTTCGTATTGTTACGCCTTTTGTAACTCTATTGTATACGTCAACGGGTAGTCCAAATAATAAGCCGTGAAAAACGTTATTTAACATGCTATATTTATCATTGTAAAATGTGAATATCAGATTAATGATTGAAAAAAAACATGAAATAGGTTTCGTTATAGACTAGTCACGGGTCGAAATTTTGCCATGGAATTGAGAGCGATTTATGAGTCGAAGTCCCGATGTGTCGAAGTTTTTACGCAAGTCCCTTCAACTTCGGCTTACCGAAGTTCTACTGTATATGCAAAGCAAAATATGGAAGATGTAGTTTGCCAAGTGCAACCAAACTAAAGACTGCCTGCTACTAAGTATACATGTAGTATTGTCACCTTAGTGCAATAACTGAATAATTTAACTGCAATTAAATTTAGAAGAACTTATTACGTAATTGCACGAAGGGGACGGTATATAAATTTCTTTTGAAATTCCTGCACTTTATAATAAACTGTTGGTCGAATAGTGTGCTTGACTATTCTCAGAACTTGATAGTAAAACAATAGCATGAATAATGTAGAATTTGCAAGTTCAACAAGGGTGCCATAGTCACAAAATACGCCCGTTTACGAAAGCTTTAGATGGAGATGGGGGCATTATGGATAAGTGTTATCTAGCAAGCAAGTTTTTATTCTTGGTACTGTGTTGTTAAATGAACCTTAAAACAAATCAGTAGGGAAGATATGCACAGGATGTGTGACCTTGACCTTGGTCGCAGGGACCTGAATTTTATGCACGGCACTCAGCCTCACAATGATGAACATTTGTGCCAAATTATATTGAAATCCCTCTATGCATGTAGAAGTTTTGCTCCAGACAAGCGTTTTTCTATGAGCTCTAACTGTGACCTTCACCTTTGACCTAGAGACTTGGTTCATGTGCAGGGCACTACGTCTCATGGTGGTGAACAATTCTATAAAGTAACATTAAAATTCCTCCATGCATGTAGAAAATATGCTCCGGACAACATCTGGATATTTAATCATCTCCAGTGACCTTGACCTTGCAAATATTAACCTAAATTAAATGTGTCACACCTGTAGTCATGATAGTTACCATTTGTGCTACAATCGATCAAAAAATGATGACTAAATGGTCCCTATACACATCTTCAAATTTTTATCTGAACTTTGACCTCTATGTGTAACATTGACTTTGGTCGCAGGGATCTGAATTTTGCGTGCGACACTCAGCCTCACAATGGTGAACATTTGTGCCAAGTTATATTGAAATCCCCCTATGAATGTAGAAGTTTTGCTCCGGACAAGCGTTTTTCAATGAGCTCTAAGTGTGACCTTGACCTTTAACCTGGAGACCTGGATCATGCATGGAGCAATACATATCATGGTGGTGAACATTTCCATAAAGTATTATAAAAATTCTTCCATACATGTAGGAGAAATGCTCCAGACAAAATCTGGATATTTCACCATCTTTAGTGACCTTGACCTTGCATATATTGACCTAAAGTACATGTGTCACAGCCGTAGTCATGATAATGACCATTTGTGTTACAATCCCTCAATAAATGATGATTAAATCGTCCCTATACACATCTTCATATTTTTATCTAAACTTTGACCTCTATGTGTGACCTTGACCTTGGCTGCAAGGACCTGAATTTTGTGCGCGACACTCCGCCTCACAATGGTGAACATTTGTGCCAAGTTATATTGAAATCCCTCTATGCATGTGGAAGTTTTGCTCCGGACAAGCGTTTTTCAATGAGCTCTAAGTGTGACCTTGACCTTTGACCTAGAGACCTAGTTCATGTGCGTGACATGGCTTCTCATTATGGTGAACATTTCTATGAAATTTCATTAAAATCCCTCCATACATGTAGGAGATATGCTCCAGACAAAATCTGGATATTTCATCATCTTTAGTGACCTTGACCTTGTATATATTGACCTAAATTATATGTATCACAGCCATAGTCTTGATAATGACCATTTGTGTTACAATTCCTCAATAAATGATGACTAAATGGTCCATATACACATCTTCATATTTTTATCTGAACTTTGACCTCTATGTGTGACCTTGACCTTGGCCGCAAGGACCTGAATCTTGCACGCGACACTCCGCCTCACAATGGTGAACATTTGTGCCAAGTAATATTGAAATCCCTCTATACATGTGGAAGTTTTGCTCCGGACAAGCATTTTTCAATGAGCTCCAAGTGTGACCTTGACCTTTGACCTAGAGACCTGGTTCATGTGCGCGACACTGCTCCTTATAGTGGTGAACATTTCTATGAAGTTTCATTAAAATCCCTCCATACATGTAGGAGATATGCTCCGGACAAAATTGGACGCCGCCCGCCCGACCGCCCGCCCGCCCGCCAGGGGCGTTCCCATAATACGTCCCGTTTTTCAAACGGGCGTATAAAAAGGCCATTATGTTGTCACACCCTATGTTAGAGTTATGGGCCTGTGACAGTGACCTCCTTCCTATCATACTCCAAAATAAGTGTGTGAAGTTTCAACATATTTCTTTAGAATCCCTTAGGAGATATTTGTTTGCACGCAAAAACTTAACCAAAGTGTGAAACTGATGCCTTCGTGAGTTCAACAGCTCTGTGTCTATCCTTCCAAATACTCAAGCTAAAAATTAGGTCACAGTATTTTTTTTTCTTATAAAAAGTGCAATCTAGGAGCAAAATGGTGCATTTTATTATACTCATTATGGTAATCATGTTAATTTCTGCCTATATTTTCTGTAAAATACCTTTTACTGCAGCTTTCTCTTTTTTAACCTTTTTATCTTTTCCAAAAACAGAAAAATTTAACAGTTAACGACTCTTTTTACGTAAGCACCTTAAAAATATATATATATTACACATTAAGCTATTTTAAGAACAGCTTCTATAAATAGATAAATACAATATATTTCATGATTATAACTAATTACGAAATAAAATAAAATGAAAGTGTCGATACTTTATTTCCTTTACACGATTTCCATATTTTTCAATCTAATACAACTTGTACGTACTTTATTCACAGTCATATAATCTAAAATATATTCACTCCTTTTGATTTCTTCTCATGAATTTGAATTAAAACTTTATATTATCAAATAAGATACAAATAAAATACAATTATTATTATAAGTAAATCATTATTATACAACCTTAAACATAAATGACATTATAATGAAAATGATGATGTGTGAAATGTTTGTATTTCACTGAAATTAACTGAGTTATGGCCCCTGCTATATAAGGATAATTAAAAAACTATTTAAATCATTTTCAAAACAAATTATTTTTTTCTAAAGTTAATTCTTCAGATAATAGTGTTAGTTATATCAACTGATGTTTATAAAGTTATCTAGCTGGATTGACATGCAATTCATGCAGTTAGTATAAAATTTAATGGATAATTTCAATCCACATGCTTATATTCCAAGCCATTCATTATACCGTATCTATTCTAATTAACACTCCTACAGTAATTGTTGTTGACTTTAGGAAAGCCCAGAGGAAAACCCCAGGTGGTTCCCCCACATAATTTCAGGCAAAAGCGGGGCTTTGAATAACCTGTTAAATGTTAACCAGAAAGCGTCACGACTTGAAAATATCTAAAGCCTTTAAAAATGATTCAAACCTACGCGTAAGGAGGCAATAAATACAATGTCAACCGTCTTTACAACTTGGCAATGGATGTCCGTAACTCCCACATGAGAACATGTTTTTATTTTAAAATTGCAGCAAATAACCAAACTACAACCTGATTGATTAAAATGATTGGTATTGATTTGAGAAACATTTGTACCTTTTACAAACTTTGTTTGACTAAACTAATTAATAAGATAGTTTACATAAAGCACCTGGTTTAAAATGCTATTTGAACATTAATATCTCCTTATAGTTAATTCTTAAGGGTGTTACAAATAAATTTTTTTTTACCGAAGTCCTTATAAATTCAAATATAACAAAAGAAGAAAATACAACGGCTCATCACTGGTTTGGGGTGTCACCAGTTTTTCTTTTCCTACCTGTTTTGGTTTTTACTCTTAGCCATTTGCTTAGAACAGGGTTCCCACTCTTAGATATTTTGAAAATTTAAGGACTTTTCCAGGACTTATCAAGGACCTTTTTTGATTTTTTAAGGACTTTTTAGAAGATTGAAGTTCAAGCTATTCGATTTTTTTGTCCTATGAATATTTTCATGGTAATGTTTAAAACAACATTTAATAACAATAAAATACATGTAGTTCATGACATAAATCTAACTCTATCTAAGAAATACATTCAGTGTCTATAAGTAATGAAATGTACTTTGTGACAGCAACTGTTGCAGGTTGTCTGCAATTTTCATGTAATTTTGGTGTTTTTAATGCTTCCAAGGGATCACTTTTTTTACAAGATATTTATAGTACTTAATAAGTAACCTCACATTTGACCTCAGTCCACTTAGGTGCATAGAATGGCAAAAGCATGTCACACTGAAGGGTATATGAAAACTGCCTGCAGGTGTTTCTACATTAAAAATTTCACAACTTTCATGTTTAAATGTTGTACTCTGCTTAAGCCAGTGCTACGGGTTCTACAAAATATGGCAGCAGCACAAAATACCCAAGCACACACAATTATAGCAATATTCATTTTGGTTTGTATACAATATAGATTTTAATGAGAAAATGAATTGATATTTTCAAAATAATGTGACTTAGCCAACTATTACTTTCATTCATTCCGTTGAAATTGGCAGTTCAGATGTTGTAAGAAAAAAAAGTGACATTTGCTTTTCTAACTGTTAGGTTCATTAATGAATAGACAAATGTACTTACAAGATATGAGATTTGTTGTCTACATTTAAATTTGAAGGGTATAATTTTGTTGTAATTTCATACAAGTTCATTCGTATTATTTTTTTTATTTAATAGTTTTCATGGAGTATACTGTATTTGGGTATATTTTGGTTCAAAAATGAAATTTTGGGTATGTTCGATTACATCTTAGTGAAAGTGTATATTGTATTCATGATTAAAACAGCATTTTTTTTAGTATAACACATTCATTTTTAGTATATTTTGGCTAATATTTGGGTATTTCTTGCTACCCAAATATGGTGTGGCCAACTGGCTGTGCTCTGCCTTGACAATAGTTCATGTATGTAATACTATTGTTTATTTTATATTGATTTACCTTTGGCTTTTAGCATGGTTGTGAGCAATAAGGTTAAACAAATTGCCCAAGGAAACAACCAGACCTGTGAGCTTTCATGTTTCTTAGCACGGGCCAATCAAGCAAACTTGTGGTCGATTTGTGACTGTCTTATAACATTTTCCAAACAAAACCGCCATAGTAACCAGAAAATAAATGTTAAATCTCATAAATGTCAAACTTGGCCTCCCAAAACACTTGTAAATCGAAAAAACATCAACATTCAAGATGCAGAAGTCAATATACTGTGCTAAGACCGCCATTTTGGTTGTTTGATTTACCTCCCCTTTACCAGACTAATTCCCGTACCTTCCCGGACTTTTTTATGTATCAACACTAATTCCCGGACTTTTCAAGGCCGGGAGCTCCTGTTTTCAAATTCACGGACATTTCCCGTTTTCCCGGACAGCGTGGGAACCCTGTTAGAAGCACAACTAAGGTTTTAAAAACCCTAACCCTAAACTCCTGTCTGTTAATGTTTAAACATCTGTTCTCTGAATAATAATGTTTGTAAGTAGAGAAAAAGAGAGAAATTTGTGAGATATAGCCACTTACAGTCTCCATAGAACACCAGAAAAAAAACCCAATAAAAGAAAAAATTCTGAAGTCCAATTCAAAATATTTAGCTTACCATCAAAATCTAGTCCAGTGTCTATTTTCTTTTTAGAAATAAGAGTTATTCCCCCTTCACCTGAGGAGACAGGGTCATCTGCACCAATAGAGCGTTGTGAAACAAGCATAACTCCGCCCCCCTTATCTCTGTCACTCCCACCAAATTTGAAAGGCAGTTTGGGTAAAAGCCCTGTAGCGTATAAAGTGGGTTAGTTCAACAGATTAGTAATAACTACAACAAAAACAACATTCAATCAGTCAAATAAGTTTATGCATTTCAGAGCAGTACAGATTATTATTAAATATTGACAAACTGTCAAAACATATTTTAGATTATCTGTCTGCTAGAAATAGAAATAAGTTTTTGAACAAAAACTGTATCCTTATCACATAAATAATTTGCTGTGTAACACAGCCCAACAATTGTGATAAAAAAAAATTGTCAAAGAAAAATAATTATATAGCCAAAACTGCCAAGCATGAAGCTTTGTAAAGTATGGCCTTTTAGATTTGAATGTAAAATTATGTTCCCTGTATAAAGGTAACATTTTGCAAAACTTTCTCCCAATTCCCTCAAATCCTTCCAATTCCCTCACATTCTATCAATGCCCTCAAGTTCTCCAAATTCCCACAAATTGTTCAAATTCCCTCAATTTCTCTCAATTCCCATAAGTTCTCCAAATTCCCTCAAATTCTCCAATGTTCTTCAATTCCCCCTCAAGTTCTCCCAATTCCCTCAAATTTCCTGAAATTCTCCCCCAAATTTTCCCAATGCCCCCTCAAATTCTGCCAATTCCCTCAAATTCTTCCAGTTGTTACATTTATAATACATTCTGCACTGCTCTAGATATTTTACATGAATCATATAACCAGCAATGATCTATATGCAAACTGATGAGATAATTTCTCTACTTTTCTTTCTAAAATATGTCTACCATCATCATCATGCACTTATCAGTAAATATTGACAACAATAAGCTTATGGCTTCCAACACAATCAAACTAAAATAAATTTGTTTAAACTAAATTTTGACAACAAAAAAAATAAAAATCTTGAAAATTACACAATCTTTTTAAAACTTCTAAATGTCAATCAATTTCACTTTTCTTTAAAAAAAATTATCAAGAAAATTGGATAATTACTTCTGAATAATTTTATTTAATAATTAATATACGTATATGTAAAAAATCAACAAAAAAATCAACTAAGAAAGGGCCCATTTTGAAATTCTAAAATAAAAATGTGTTTGAAAAAAATACCCACAAATTCATGCACCTAACAACAAGAGCACCGCTAGGCGGAGCATTATATGCCCGAAAGTGATTTTTTTTTTTTTAGTAAAGATGAAGCATTTGTAAGACATGGGAGTAAAATAAAGTATTACTTCTTTAAAATATAATCCTCCTTTGAAGTTTCAATATTGTGGTCCAAATTGAACTTTAAGTTATGCCCCAGAAACTGTTTTCAATTCTAAGGTAAAAGTGACCTTGACCTTTGACCTTGTGACCCCAAAATCATTAGGGGTCTTCTTCCCAATATGGACAATCATACTATGAAGTTTAAACACAGTAGGCCAAATGATACTTAAATTATGTTCCGAAAACTGTTTTCAGTTTTAAGGTAATAGTGACCTTGTCCTTGAATATTGTGGGCTAAATGGAACTTAAGTTATGCTCAAGAAACTGTTTTCAATTTCTAAGTAATAGTGACCTTGACCTTGTGACCCCAAAATCAATAGGGGTCTTCTACCCAATATGGACAATCATCCTATGAAGTTTGAACACTGTAGGCCAAATGGAACTTAAGTTATGCTCCGGAAACTGTTTTCAGTTTTAAGGTCATAGTGACCTTGACCTTTGACCTTATGACCCCAAAATCAATAGGGGTCTTCTACCCAATATGGACAATCATCCTATGAAGTTTGAATATTGTGGGCCAAATGGAACTTAAGTTATGCTCCGGAAACCAAATTGCTAACGGACGGACGGACGGATGGACGGACGCCAGGGGGTATAACATAATATGTCCGAAATTCTTTCGGGCATATAAAAAAGGAGGAAGGGGGTGGAGGGTGAAAAAAATTTCATTCCGACCCAATATGTTAAGATGTAAAACTTAGGCAAGGAAATGCTTTCAACGCAAGCTAACTCTAACATGCATTCATGTTGAAGAACTCAAACAGAAGTATCTCTTTTACATATGCACTTTTGGTGCCTTTCTAAAAGTACTATCTATACTTGAAATACATGCACAATGCTTGACTTGAACTACAACTATAACTGAAGTGTAGAAATATGAAAACTGTATTTGTGACGTGACCTTGGCTTTAAGTATTGTAGTGATTTTAGAAAGATCAACATCCAACTATAAACAATCTTAAAAATATAACTTAAAAGTTCAGGTGAATTTAAAACCCAGACTGATCAACAAAAGAATAATAAAGAGTGATGACGATAGGTCAATCATGGTCAATCATAAGTATGACGAACAAAAAACAATGAAAAACACCGAGTGTACAATCATACATAAAAAACCTTACTGAAGGTTGTAAAATCCATTCGGCCAAATAATGCGGACACATGGACAGATGTAAAGTCTGCATAAAGGGAGATAATAAATAAATCATTAATCTAGTTAGAATAGATAATGTTCTATCTTTCCTACAGACATATTGTACTCTGTTTTAAGATAATTATTATAAAATCTTTTTTGTGAAAAACAATTTATCATTATAAAAAAAACAATTTGAAAAATTTCCTACAAACATATATATGTTTTAAAAAATACAATTATTTACCCTCTTACAAAGCATATTCTATGGTGGCACAAAGGTGACATGTGCCCAAGAGATGATTAAGCCATGGGCACAAGTCACTATGTCAAGCACACAGGATACTATGCAGTGCTCACGTGGTACTAACTTGTGCTCACGACTTAGCTATCTCTTGTGCACAACTTAATTCTCATGTGCGCACCTCTGTGCCACCGTAATATACAATGTATATTCAATATCTATTTTTTTTTCAATTTTTTTTTCAAGCTTAAAAATTGATCAGGTACATGAATACACTGCTGCCTTTTATTACATGGATCCAAAAAGAAAGAGTAAGCAATACACTTACAAGTAACACAACACTTTTATTCATATGAATATAAGCAACTGAATTGTAAAAATGTTATACACACTGAAAAATTGACAAAGTACAAAAATTCTATAACTTTCATATTAATTTTATCATTTAACATAACATGCTATTGATAATTTTAATTTTTCATTCCATAACAATTTTACCATTAATTCATCATTCAATATAAATATAAGCAATGATATAAGCATTATATACATATGTATATCAGCACAATAATGTACGAAGATATCCCAGCCGAGTCATATTCAGTGTTGCTGGATCCCATAGTAGGAAACTACGTCATAGCATACGTCATTGCACACCTGCTGAATGCTCCGCCTCGAACCATTTTTTGTGTGTAGAAAATCCTTCAACTCAAAGGTAATGTATTTTGTACTTTATACACACCTTAACAAAACATTCATAGTAAATTATCTAAAGTTGACGAATTTTCTACGGAAAATGGTCCGAGTGGGAGCATTCAGAAGGTGCACGATGATCCTACCATTGAGATCAGTTTTCTGTTAATCCAAAATTTACAAGCAAACCATCATAATATTACAATGTTTATATATATAACAACATTTATTTTACATTATACTGCAATGATTTTAGCGAACAAATAACATCCTCATGCCCCAAACAGTAAAATTCAAATCATACCTTTCGATCGTTTATTTGCCGATGATGAGGATTCAGAAGTTTCTGCAGTATCGTTTGTTCCAGTCGTGTCCGTGGAAACCGCATCAAGCCCGGGAATCTCGGAATCTTTGTTACGAAACGTAGGCCGTGACGGGTCGTAGGAAGTTTGAGACAAGGTAGAAGAAGACTCGCCAGATTCACTGTTACTTCTAGATAATATAAAACAATTAAATAACCTTTAATCCAAAGTATATAAATAGAACAACAGAAAATTAATCTAAAGTGATGAAAATCTTAAACCCAAAATTTAGCACACCTAAATAAAAATCTAGCCAATGATATATTATACAATTATTAACTAGAGAGCCATTGAATATGATGTGATATTCACCGGCAGAGGACATATTGACCCAGTGAATATGATTTTATAAAAAGTTCTGTTGACTACTGTTTGGACCAATGAGATTGTAGCTATATTTAGATCATATAATAATGAAAATTAAACTTGTTACTGATATGCAGCATAATAAAATTTACTGGAAATAATCGTCTTCTCAAAACATGAAATAATGGCCGAGACTAGATTCTATATTAAAGCGATGCTGAAATTCTAAATCAGGAAATACCATTTGTTATATTCAATTCAACTACTAGAGTAAGGTAGGATGGTGGGTGAGGCAAATTAAAATGAACATACTGATAAAACTCAATAATATTAGTCACCCCTAGCTTGCTTCTCATTTCCAAATTGCAATATGTCACAAATGCTGCCTAAATCATGTAACAATAGTTCTCAACCATTCCCTTCATAGATACAATCTATGGTTTTATGACAAACTGTCAGGTTGTTCCAACACATTTTTGTTGATTTCTTATGATTTTATCTCCAATTGGTGTTACACATTCTTGTTAATTTCTTAAAATCATCTTGCATGGAGCAAAAATAAATGTATCAGTGTTGATATAAATGAAGGAATGATGAAATTTCTTTTTACTCCTAAACTAGCCAAATGTTAGGGACAGCAAAATATACAATGTACACATCAATATACAAGAGATTATAAAACATATTGTTAGTAATATATAATTCAGAATTGAGAGGGAATTCAGACTTAAACTATATGTATATGGGGAGAGGGGGTTAAAGTTTTTAAGACTAAATTGGATTACATTCAACACAAAGCAAGAACTTAAATATTACATAGCACAGCAATTTCAAGCAATTAAATACGAGTTTAATACAAACATGGGCAAACTTTAATAAAACATGCATTATTAAGTAAAGTAACAATTATTATAACAGACATACAAATGAACAAAGCTTAATGAAATGCTACAAAGGGGAACGAATAAAAGCAATGTGTTACTCGTCACCAAAATACCTGCTATTTTTAGTAACATGAACTATATTGTTATCAACTATTTCATGTTATGAAACATGGATACATATATTTTGACATACAAAAGCTGTGCAGTCGTCTTTACTGTTACCTTTCTCTTTGAGTTTCCGAGTCCTCTGATTGGTCAGGCAGCTCAGGTGGGCCGGCAGGAGGTGGAGGAGGGGCAGGGAATGATTCTTTAGAAGGCGGAGCCTCAGACATTTTAGGCTGGGCTTCTGCTATTATAGGAGGGCTTTCCGAAACTGGGGGTGGGGTATGGGATTCATTTTGCTGTGCTTTTCTTTTTCTAACATCACTCTTTTTTACTGTGTTGTCACTGAAATTTAAGCAATGAGCACTTCAAAGCCCCAAAACAAAAAACACAGTGCAAAAACGCATGAATTGTGTGAACAAAATGTGAAAGCCATCAAATAGCAAACTAAACATTTTAAGCTTGACCATAGTTTATAAAGTTACATAAATGATTTATACAGCTCTGCACTTAAAAAATAGTAAAATGCGAAAATAAAGAAGACTGGAAATATATTCAACATTAGAAAATCACATAATTTAAAGAAGAATTTCCAGATATTACAACATTTATTTGCATAAAACATAATACAGTGAAGCTCACAATGTTATCAAATAACCATTATTCATAATATTTTTCTTTCATTAATTGGTCACATAAAGTAAAACAAATATATTGGTTAAAGAAATATTTGCTTAAAATACATTTTTTCCTACCCTTTTCTTTTATTTTACTATAATAAGTAAACTTTCAGATGCAATTTAAACCAATAATGAACCCTTGACCTGCAGCAGCCTAAAATGACCAGCCTTTGCTTCCAGTAGAGAGCCAAGCCAGCTGGCTTATCAGTTGAATGTAAGGTTTCAAATTCAAAGCTGGACAATTTCCATTTATATAAATTCAGCAAGTCAAGGGATAAAAATAATAGGTTCTTCAATATCGAATAAATATTTCTATACAATGATGAATCTATCTTGTTACTTTGAGAAAACTGTTTACATATGATTGTAATATCATGCTATTTGACCTTCACAGCTTTAAGCCCCGCCTCCCAAACACACAATCACCCAATTACCAACATTTTAGAAACATGACATGTATGCTTAAGGTACATTTTTAATGCAAAGCAGAAAAAACTTCTATCTTAAAATTATGTAATGTAAATCTAACATATTGATGATCCTAAGACAAATCTAATGTTATTTTTCAAAACTATCAAAGCATTTTTTCTACTAATAATTCTTGTTTAAAACACTCAGATTAAAATCCTTTTGTTATATTTTATTAATCCATTTGTTATATTTTATTAAGTTTTTCTTTAGCATATGAGATAAAACTAAATACAGAGCACTTTTTAAACAACAAAAACTCTAAACAAAGGCAAAAATAAACATTAATATGGTATTCAAAAATTAATGTTCTTGTACCCTAAATTAATTGTTGAAAAATCAACAAATTAATAATCCTTTACAATTAAACCTGTCTCTAAGAATGATTCACTATTTTAAATTAACTTTTAACTAATTTAACTATTTTTAACAATATATAACATGTATTAAAACCAATAAATACTTGCAAAGTCTAATTACTATTTACCAATTGGATGCAAATATTACTCTCTCTGTTTTATACCAATTATAATGACATTGACCTAATACTGTCGACATACTGACCCAATTGTAAATTGCAACTGACCCATTTATAATGACATTGACCTTATACTGTTGACATAAACCCCATTATGACATTGAGCAATTTATGAAATTGACCCAATATTGTTGACATTGACCCAATATTGCTGACATTGACTCAATTATAATGAAATCGGGCCAATTGTAATGACAATGACCCAATGTTGTTGACACTGACCTAAATATAATGGGATGGACATAATAGTGATAGCATTGACCCAACTACAATGACATTGACCCAAATGTGATATTGATATAATTTTGTGATAACATTTGATACAATTTTGGTGACATTTACACAAAATTTGTGATACTAGCATGTTCAGAAAAAATAATATAAATCCATTCATCTAAACATTTACCTATTATGTGATAACTTGTGACTATTCACCTTATTCGACACATCATCTTTATTACAATCATTAAATCTTCAAATTAAAACAATTTTTATACTTGTAAAAAAGGCACAAAGTTAATATTCCCAACCCCTAATTGGAATTGGAATATAACAGAGATTTCTATTGGCTGAAAATTTAAAATCCAAAGTACCAGATGCAATTATTAACCAATGAGATGTCTGAATAAAGAATACATATAACAAATCAACTCTGACTAGCAAAACTTACACATCTAAACTCAAAACAAATTCTGCTGTCCTATATTTTAAGAATAAAAAAGAACAAGTTCTTAGGTTTCAATGAATTAATGAAGTAAATTTAATAAGTGACTGTATATGCAAATGAAGGCTGTGACAATGGAAAAGCTAACAAAGATTTTTGGAAAGTTATTTAACTATAGTACATACATGTAATAATTTCACATGAAGCTGCAAAGGCAGTTTGTAAACAAAAGATGAAAGAATACTCCACTTTTTCTAGTGTTGGCTAGTAGTTAACAAGAGCAAAATATTTCAATACATGACCAAATTTAAGTTTTTAATCTCAAAGGTCTCAGTGACCTTGACCAGGTCACAGTGACCTTGACCTCTGACCCAATATGTGCATGATGGGAAGGGAAAGACAGACAGACATTAATCTTCATACAAACTTTCAAGTTCCAATTGCAGTGCTCATTTATTTAAATTACAAATTTTATGTTATGTGACGGGTACAACTTTTCAAGGTGAATTCATAAAGGTTATAAAAAATGTTGCCACTGCCCTTTGTGGTGCTAAAAAAGTTTTCATAACCTACACATGTAGAGGCTGGATAATTTTAAATTGGTGTCATACACTATTATGACCTACATTGTATATGATTTACAACATTTATATTGGCTTGACACATCCAATGAGCTAACATTATACAAATGTACTTCATCAATGTATTAACATTTAGAGTTTCTGTGATAAAATGATCCTATTCTGAAATAATTACATAACTACAATAGAGATTTTAGTTTTTTCTCTTTTTTAATTCATGAGTAAAAATAATGACTGTTCAGGAGTCTGTAATAACAAGTTCGGTCAAAAAATGAATAATGTAAGTACATAAATCAGAAACAAGTTTCTGTGAACTCCTACATGAAACCTTACCTATATTTTACTTAAGCACAAAATCTTTATTTCATATTATCAAATTTCCCTTTAAAAATGTTGACCACCGAAAAAGACAGAATAAGAACCCTGCCATCATCTACTAGAAGGGAAATTGCTATGTGAAGACAGACAGTCTAGAAAACAAGGGAGATAAATTTAGAAAGAGAACTGGTTCCCACCTGTCATGTTTTATCCAGGTTTCTAGGCCGCTTTCCGGCTTGCTATCTGAAATAGCTTCAATCATCTCCTCACTGTCCTGTGACTGAGTAAATAAAGTAACAAATGAAAATTCTAAATACCATTCTATGATATTTGTTTTGCTGATCATATATTTTTACAGATGATATGCCATAACCAATTGTTCCATTAAATTTATATTTACAATTTATTGCACCTGGTTCAGTTACAAAAATTAAAATGATCGTAATAAAGTATGGATTAATATACTTACAAAATACTTATAAGTTATACTTAAAGAAAAAGAAAAAGGCCTGAATGAATAATGGAAAATAAAAGTACATGTATATATGAACCTTGCTTTAAGAACTAACCTTTGACCTCTGTTTTGTTGGAGGTCGTCGTTGAGAATTGGCAGCTAGCTGGGCTTTAGCTTTGTTCACTGAGGTATCCAGAAGTTTCGGAGTTGGTACTGATTCAAATATAAGTGCACTTTCAGGCTTCATTTTAGCATCAATTGCTGTAAGTAAATAATAAATTTTACATTAATATAAACCTTGTTTTTTTTTATTTTGTTTAAAAGATCTGTTTCTAGTTTTGATTTTACACTGGTTCTTGGCTAGTTTCTGCAGTTTTCAAAATCAAACAAGAAGGTAATGATGGCCCTTAATCAGGCATACAAGGCCCTTATACTTCAAAATTGTGCCAATTTATAACAAGAGCTGTCACAGGAGACAGCGAAGCTCGACTAATGAAATACTGGACGCAGTAAGGAGGACAAAACTATGAAAGGAAAATCAATTATGTATAATTATGTATTAAGTTTTAGTAAAAAAATAATATTTGTTAACATAAATTCAAAGATCAAGGGGAGTAATTCTAGAAATAGTCATGCTAGAGTTATGGACCTTGTCACACAACATTTGTGTAATGATAAGAAATATATATTTGAAGTTTGAAGTAGATACCTTAAAAAATAAAGAAGTTATTGTATTTCTTAAAGAAAATCCTAAGTTCAAAGAGAGATAAATCTGTAAATATTGCTTCAAGAGTTATGAACATTGTCACATAAAATGTAATTGATGATAAGGAATAAGTATTTGAAGTTTGAGGTAGATACCTTTAAAAATAAAAAAGTTATAATAAAAAATAAAATTTTTCTAGTAAAAAAATCTAAGTTTATGGGGAGATAATTCTTGCAATATTGGTGCTAGAGTTATGAACCTTGTCACATAAGATGTGGATGAGGATAACGTAAATATATTTGAAGTATGAAGTTGATCCCTTTAGAAATATAAAAGTAACAGTAAAAATAATATTTTTTTATGGAAAATTCTAAGTTCAAAGGGAGATAAATCTGAAAATATTGGTGCTAGAGTTATGAACCTTGTCACATAAGATGAAGATGATGATAATGTAAAATAATTTGAAGTATGAGGTTGATCCTTAAGAAATAAAGAAGAAACAGTAAGAAATAGTACTTTTTGAGGAAAATTCTAAGTTCAAGGGGAGATAAATCTGAAAATATTTGTGCTAGAGTTATAACCCTTGTCACATAAGATTGGGATGATGATAAGGTACATATATTTGAAGTATGAGGTTGATCCCTTAAGAAATAAAGAAGTAACAGTAAAAAATAGTATTTTTTAAGGAAAATTCTAAGTTTAAGGGGAGATAAATCTGAAAATATTGGTGCTAGAGTAATGAACCTTGTCACATAAGATGTGGTTGATGATAAGGAACATATATTTGAAGTTTGAAGTTGATACCTTAAGAAATGACAAAGTTATAGTGAAAAATATTTTACTGCACCAAAACTTTAATCTAAAATCTGGACGCGGACGCCGACGCCGGGGCGAGTAGGACAGCTCTCCATATACTTCGTATAGTCGAGCTAAAAATGCATGTCTCCAGATGAGCCAAAATATTTCAAGAAAATCAAACGTTTTTTTTTAACCGTAGTAAAATTTAATAACATTTTAAGAAAATAAAATTTTTTAGGAAAAGTAATAAAAAGATGCAAGACTGAAGTTATGATTTACATGTTATGTGCAATAAATGACTGATTTTGCAGTATTATTCATCCAAATTTCTACTGCATGACTTAATATATACACAGTAAGGGTTATTTTTTGCACATTTTGACCTCTTTTTAGTGATTTACATGGATTGAAAGTGTTGCTTTCAATATGTACATTCTTAGTTCACTTCGCAAAATTTTACTTTTAAATACATTTTAAGTATTTTTTCATCATGAATCTAGAGAAATGCTAGTTTAAGTCACAGGTCTGGCTCAAATCAAATGAAAAATGAAACTGGTATCATATAATATATGTGTGTCAATGTGAAACAAAAACTCATTCCTTGAAAGTAAAGATAATTATGTAAGAAGCTTGCAGTCAAATATCTCTCTTTCAACATTACATGTATTTAGATACTGACCTGGACTAGTAGAAGAATTAGGGTCAGCAGAGGATATATCACTTTCTGACGAGATAGAGTCCCGATCTGCCAGCGGACTCATTACAGGACTACCCGAATCTGAAATAACCATTATTACATCTACAGATTCTTAAAGGATTTTTACCGAATCCTCGTTTTACATATTTTCCAATGCCCTTTTTCCAATTAAAAAATCTATTATTACACCTACAGATTCTTACAGGATTTTTACCCATCCTCATGTTAAAAATGCCCTTTTTCAATTCAAAAACTGAAGCTTTTTTAATGTTTATTTTTCTCAATTTCAAATCAAATGTATGAAATACAATTTCAATAGCCCAAAATCTGATTTTCTTGAAAAAAATTACAATTACCATGGGTTTTAGGGGCTGACTTGACTGCTAAACTAACACTTGGCACAACTGTGGCCTCTATTGAATGTGTTTGCTCCTTAGGTGGTAACTGCACTGGTAGCCCAGCTGCTTTCTGTGCCTCCCCTAACTCCCCCTCTAAGTGGAAAATCTGCATGATATAAAATGAAATCATATAAATCAATAGTGCCTCCCCTAGCTCCCCCTCTAGGTGGAAAATCTGCATGATAAAAGACAAAATCATATAATTCAAAATCTTAGCCCATCACTTAACATTATTTATTTTCAATTAAGTCACACACATGGCTGAAAAGTTCAACTTAATCAGTAAGAAACAGCAGAAATATTTCTGCACCAAAGTCTTTTAAACAAAACTGTTCAATTAATAGATAATTATATATCTTCTGCTAATGAAATTTAGCTACCTGAAAAGAAATCTTAAATATTAACGAATTTAACAAAATACATCTAAGACCCTACAATCAAGATATATCAATGAACAAATATATTACACTTAACCAAATGTTTATCCTTACCTTGCTATAGGCAACTGATTATACAGGTAATCCATGTGACCAGTGCAGACCAAGATCAGTCGAGCATTTGTGCTGTCTGATCATGGTCTGTACTCTTTGCTATTCAGTTATTACATATTTTGAAATTTTCCCTAAAACTGATGAATGGTTTTGTCCAGATTGAAACATGGACCAGTCCATTTCAGATATTTAGTGTGATAAGGGTTAAAGAACTTTCTACCCTTTATGACTTGATGGCTGATGGCCTTACAATTATCACGTAAAAATTAAAGCAACAAAAAAAGATAATTTACCCTGTCTTTTAATGACTTGACTAAGGCATCATACTGCTGATCTTTCTCTGATTGTTGTTGTAGTAAAGATTCTCTCTCAGCTATAAAATCCTTCTCCCTGTAAACCAGATCATGTAGTGTAATATTAGTCTGTTTAAACTTTTTTCCCATACAGTTTTAGTTTAAACAAATTTATTTTAGTTCAATTGTGTTGGGAGCTAGAAGCTTATTGAAACACTCTCGAATCTGTACAGTTTTAACTTATTTAACAACTCATCTGTAGTATCATCAAAGATTTTATTCAATTTATACACATTTTATTTAATTCTCAACAGTATTTTCTCTGTGACGTTTTTGTGACCTTTACCTAGCCATTTCCTATTCAGTCAAACTTTTACCCTGAGATTTCCTACAAAGTTAAACCTTTACCCAGATGTTTCTTATTCAGTCAAACCCTTACCCAGTTGTTTTCTATTCAGTCAAACCTTTACTCAGATGTTTCTAATTCAGTCAAACCTTTACCCAGATGTTACCCATTCAGTCGAACCTTTACCCAGATGTGTCTTATTCAGTCAAACCTTTACCCAGTTGTTTCCCATTCAGTCAAACATTTTCCCAGATGTTTCCCTTTCAGTCAATGCATATTTCGAAATTTTTCCTAAAAATTATGAATGGGCACGACAGGGCACCAGAGGTCTTCTTCCACGAGTAAAGGTGAAATAGAAACATGACCTTTACAATGTTGGTGTGATATAAAACACAAACAAATAAACTCACCTTTGCTGATATTCTTTTATCAGTTTTTTGGCCTTATGATACTTTTTCTCCAATGCGACATATTCAGCTTTCAACTTCTTCTCTAAAGCAATATACTGGCCTTGTGATCCCTCCATCATGTCCTATAAATAGAGCAAAGGTCAAGGTCATTATATATACACAAGGTTTATGCATAAAATTAGGTCAAGGTCATCATTTCACATAGATTAAGACAATATCATTAAAGAAGTCAATGCAATTTCTCCAAAAAGTGGAAACAGTAAAATTAATCAAGATCATGATGGTAACAAAGTCTTTGAAACACTGCTCGAATAGTTGTAAATGCAAATAAATAAAAGATCATAGCAGAAATTTTAGTTATTAAAGTGAAACTGAAATTGACAAATGTCCAATTTAGTGGCAGCATGGCTGAGTGGCTAACGCATCAGACTAGTAATCTAATGATCGCTAGCCGCATGGGTTCAAACCCCGTCAAGGGCAAGTCGTTTATAGATCATAAAAAATATAGAATTTATAATATCTGCCATCCTATACTTTTACATTAAATTTAAAATTTAGGTTACAAACAACTGAAAGAAATAAATATATGATATATAGCACTGACGTACATCTTTAATAGGTCAAAGTATAGATATATATGATATTAAAGAAACATATTCAATTTATTGAACAATCTCTCCTATTCCACCTTACCTGATAATGATTAATCTCTTTTCTAGCATTAGTTAGAGATTTTTCCATCTCTCTCAGTCGAGACGCCATCTCTTCATTCTTCTTCTCATACTGTTTCTTCTGAGCTTCATTATTCTCTAACACAACAAGCTTAGCTTTAAGCTTAGTTATCTCAGCTTCTAATACAGCATTCTTACACTGAGCCTTTAATTTATAAAAAAATTAACTTTCAGCTACTTATGTAATACAACATTGAAAACAAGAGCTGTCAGTAAGATAGCGCACTCAACTATTCTCAGTGCTTGATAGTTAAACAAGAGTCTGTATAATGATTTTTATTGAAGAATTTTGTCATTTCAAAAGGGGCCAAAATCCATGTTTGAGTTATGTAAAATTTAAAATTATATTAATTCTGTAATGGACTGACATGTCTGGAATAACATAAATTCTGTAATTCATTGACATGTTTGGATTAATATTAAATCTGTAATGTATTGGCATGTTTGGAATAACATAAAATCTGTAATTCATTGACATGTTTGAAATAACATAAAATCTGTAATGTATTGACATGTTTGGAATAGCATTAAATCTGTAATTCATTGAAATGTTTGGAATAACATAAAATCTGTAATGTATTGACATGTTTGGAATAGCATTAAATCTGTAATTCATTGAAATGTTTGGAATAACATAAAATCTGTAATTCATTGACATATTTGGATTTAAATAAAATATGTAATTCATTGACATATTTGGATTAAAATAAAATATGTAATTCATTGACATATTTGGAATAACATAAAATCTGTACTTCACAATTATGTTTGGAATAACATTCAGATTTTCTTGCATATTCAATTTAAATACTACAGCCCTGTCACTCACCTCTTTCAACTTAACAAACAATGCCTGCGATTCCATGTCAGGGGAGATGTCATCAGGACTGGACTCCTGTAAATCAAACACCTCTACGACTGGTTTACTTTCTCCTTCATCCGGTGAACTGTCTGTAGTGTCTGAATCTGTAAACATTCAAAGAAGTGCTTTGGTTAGAAATTTTTTTTTTTCTCAAAACAGATACCAAAAGTGGTTCTTCTGTAAGAAAAAAGTTGTTCTTCAAATTAAAGATTCAAAGTTAGTTCTTCTGTAAGAATTAAAATAGCTTCTTAAAATAAATATTCAAAGTAGTTTTACTCTGAAAGAATTAAAAGAGTGGCAGTCTGGCCGAGTTGTTGAGAGTGGCGGAGTGGCCGAGTGCTTAATGCGTCAGACTTGTAATCTAAGTATTTATAGCTGACTGCGTGGGTTCAACCCTGTCAGGGGGAAACCGTTGTTTCCTTGAGCAAGAAACTTTACACTCATTGCTTAGTACTGGTTGGTTCCAGGAACGGATTCAAGAGTGTTTCAATAAACTTATAGCTTCCAACACAATCAAACTAAAATAAATTTGTATAAACAAAACTTATAAAGGTATATTTCATAAATATCATGTAAATAGAATATTTTGCAGTATTACAAGAAAATCCTATGGAAGATAACCTTAAAATCATTTAAATTTAGAGTTTTCATACCTGCAGCAGATGGCATTGACAATGGAGTTGCCTCCCCTGCCAAAAGCTCTTCAGAAATTTCAGCTTCATGTTCCTCCACATCATCTTCGACACTTGACTCATCGAGATCCTGTAAATAAGCAAATATCACTGAATCCAAAAGATAATACATATATTATATAAGAATCTTACACCAATTAATGATACAGGCCTGAATATCTGGCTTGAGTGTAACAAGCGCCAACTTTCTGCTAAACAATTACCCAAGAACTAGATATTCGAATTTGATTTCAAAGAGAAATTATGGAAACTAGTACTTCTATTTCACACTTACTTCTTATACATGTAGTAGAATAAGAATGTACAATTTCAAATGATTTCATCCAAAGCACACAATTCATTAATAAAATGTATGTGCATGGTAATGTCGTTATTTTAAAAGGCATGCAACTTGTCTTTCATTAGGGCTGTTAAGACAGAATTTTCTAGCACCAATTTGAACAGTAGAAAATTATGTTTGATACACAACAATTAATGAAAATTAGTTCATTGAATAAGGTAGTATCTGTATGTATTATATAATGATTTAAAGAAGACTTTGTGTCGGAGAAAAAAAATACTGGAAAAAATTTATGATTATACCACATGGTCCTCGGCCCTGCTATCTCTACTGGACGCCTCAGATAGATGACGTATATGTTCATGTTCTAATACCTCATCTCTAGGCTTGAACTGATCTTGAAGATCCTGTGAGAAGAAAAGGGGGGACTATGTGGTGAAAAGTGAATATCTATTACTTAATACACATGGTGAAAATTACAGCTTTAACCATTACCCTGCTGGAACTAAATATGGATAAACCCTTGCCACCAGTATAGTCACTTTTTTTTCATTTTTTGTTTTGTTTTGGTTGAGTTTTACCTCACACCGACACAGTTTAGGTCATATGCCGACTTTCCAGCTTTACTGGTGGAGAAAGACCTCAGGTGCCCTTCCTTGCATTATTTCAGGCACGAAAGGGCACCTGAGTAGAACCACAAGCGTTTTCCATAAGCTAGCTGGATAACTTCCTCACATGAATGAATTCAAAGTCCATGTCGAGCTTTGAACCAACAGCGGTGAGGGGCAAGTGGTATAAAGTCATACTAGACTGCACAAAAGCCTACAATTCAGTGCAGTCCAACCACGACCTTTACTATTGACTGTTAGTACATGTGTATCTTTAAATTTTTCATACTTATCTTCCTAAAATTGAAAATGGATAGTTTCAAAAATGGGAACTGGACAAGTCCAATTATGAAATTCAGCAGGGCTTAAGTCATGCAGTAAGAGGTGAAAAACTCTATCATTTTAGTACTCAGATTGTGAGGTGAGTTGTCTAGGCAACAAGTGATGGGAAGTATACAACATATAACTGGGTAAAAGGATTAGTCTAAAGTGAACATTCAATCTTTGTAAGAATTAGTATTTGAGCCACGCCATGACAAAACCAACATAATGGGTTTGCGACCAGCATGGATCCAGACCAGCCTGCGCCTGCAGTATTACAAAGTTTATACAGTAAATGACTAAAACTGTTTATTTATTATGTAGTAGTCATGTTCAATTAGTAAGTTTAAATTGTCTTGTTTATTAAATTCATTATTTACATGTATAATATTTTGAGAATGTAAATAAAAAGTTTTAAACCCTCTATAATGCAAATAAATACCTCAAAAGATTAAGCAACATATTATTAAGATGCAATATATTTTTTCAGCAATGTAAAGATATATGTCCCTATTTTTATCTCCTTTTATGAATTAGGTAGCCATTCAAGGGGTTAAAAGCCAAGAAGTGAAAAGCAGGCAAAAGCAAAATGGATTGTAGTAACTATAAAGAGAACAAAAACTCCTCAAAAACTTTGGTTTAGTTTGATTCAGGTTGGGTCATATATGACTTTCCAGCTTTACTGGTGGAGGAAGGTCACAGGAGTCCTTCCTTGTATTGTTACAGGAATGAATAGGCACCAGAGTAGAACCACCCATGTTCATTATGCTAGCGGGATAGCTTCTTCACATAAAACAACCCAAAGTTCCTGGCGGTATTGTACACTTGGGAAAAATTGCCATTAACATAATTATGAAAGGCCATTGTATGCAACCTTGTTTTTTCACCAACAATATAATAGTATATCCTAGTTATGCATGAAGTTGATGTACGGCCATCTATATATGGACGTGATTTATTTCAATATAGATAGTTGCATGCAACATCTTAACTAAGTGTTCCACTAATAAGGACACATGGGTGGGTAGGATGGCTTTGGTACTATAAAGTGTTGCAATAAAATGAGCTTTTACTTTTGTTTTTTCTGCTTTAAAGTTAAACCAATGACACAAATATGTTGAAATTTACCATGTTGAAATATTTGTTTTATTGCAAAACTTAAAGCCATGACACAATTATGTTGATATTTTCGTTTTAATGCAAAACTTTAAGCAACCACACAATTATGATGAAATTTCCGTTACAGCCATGGAAAACACATGGCTCACATTTTAATTACAATCATTTTTGCAATAGAAATGTTTTTGCTGGAATATTAAAAACAAAACACTGTCCTTACAGTAGTCAAGACAATTTTGTAGCAAGCTTTTTATAACATTGAATATTAGCAAAAGCAAAGTATAGAAATACCATCACAAAAGAACTGGAAACAGAATTCAGAAGGAGAAATATATGGAGTTCATGTGCAAAAGTACCTTATCATTAAGTTGGTAAGGCTAAAAACAGAATAGTTTAATGATAGGATTTAAATAGGTTGATTCTTTTTATCAGAAAGCAAATTTTGAAAAGCATTTTTTCTCTGATATCAAAGGTTGGTGGTTTTTCTCCCAACTAAAGCATAAAAAAATTCTCTAGCCACCTTCAAAACATCTACTATTGAAGTTTAAATATCAGTACCTGTTTTGGATGCACCTACATGAAAACCACTTTTACATTTTAAAGCATATCAATATTATTTCTCGGAATTTTCTTTTGACAAATCGAAAAACAAAAGAGAACATAATTATTTAAATCAAATGGGAGATTTCTCTTTTGAAAATAAAGATGCATATAATAATATTATCAACATTTTGACTGAGGATTTTTTGGCATTCACAGCACTTCAAATGGTAAAGGCTAATGCTTATAGATCTTAATATCAAATTCAGAATTTTTCATAGCATAAAACATAACCGGTTGGCATCTATTTCCACGTTACTAATACTTTTAGAATGCTTATATTTTCTTATACCATTTTGGCCCACGACCAAATCTTAATTATTTCCCCTGAATTGCTAAAAAAAATTTATATTGTGCGAACTTCATACATTTCAGAGAGCATAATATCTAAGAAATTTACATATTGCACCTAATAACTTACACACCCCAATACCCTATTATACCAAAATACCAACACAACCAAATAACCTATTACACCAACCAGTGCAATGTTAGAAATAATAATTATTACAAGAAAGCCATGTTAGTTAAGTTGCTCACTTGCGCTACCTTTAATCTATCTTGTTCCTGTTTGCGTAGCTCTTCCCTTCGTCTGTCAATCTCCAAAGATTGTTGTATCAGACGTGCAACTTCGCTTTTACTCGGATCCTTTTCTCGTCCGATCAAAAATCTGTCAATAAAATTATGTAAATTTACACACAATGCACATGAATCAAAAATAGAACATGTAATATACAAGATGCATAATTATGTAGCAGACTTCACATGGATACATATTTAAAATAAAACTTGATTATTATTGGCATATTTTCATGGTACGTAATATCAGGTTAGAGCATGACTGTCATAAGTCAACTTCATAGCATGACAGTCAAAAGTTAAGTTCACAGCATAACTGTTACAATTTGAGTGTATAGTAATTTATGTAACATTACAGCACTATGAAACTGAACTCTGATATCAACTATTAACAACAAATTAGGATTCTGATTTTGTTTTTATAGTTACATATTTTATGGTATATAACATTGTTCAATATTGGTGTGTAAGATAAATGTTGGTTATGTGTGATTGGTATTGGTATTGGTGTTTGTGCTATGTGCAGAATTAATTTTATTTTATTTTCAAAATTGTTCCATTGTTCTTTTGTTTGGAATCAATTTCAATTAAGTAACATTTTCACATTCTCCAAACACTCACTCTCAAAATATCGCTTTCCTCAGTTATGCTACAGTAACGAAAAAATCACCCCCATGCATCTACCCTCCAAAACAACATAAGCATCAGTTTGATAGCAATACAAATACAAAATAAATTGCTTATCTCATTTTCTGAATACAACATTTTACAACAAATTCCTTTACAGCAAAAATACTAAAAAAAAATAGATAAAAAAAATTAAATCATAAAATGATTGCATGACTTACTCTGCATCATATCCATTTTCAGACTTTCTTTCAGCATCAGACTTACTGCTTCCACTGCTATCACTGTCACTACTGCTGCTGCTGCTACTGCTAGATCTACTTCTTAATTCAACTTCAATTTCTTTTTCAATCATTCCCTTATTTTCATTAATACCTATGATTTCAGAATCAACACTGCTTTCAGAACTATTTGAAAGTGTTCTTCTTCTATTTTTGCTTTGCTTAACATGCTTGTCTTCATCTGAACTGACAGAAGAATTACCTTTTGATTTGATTTCGATATCTCTAAGAACCAGTTCAGAATTTGGATCAAAATCTGATTCAGGCTTTTTAATTATCACAACATTTTCATATGGCACATATCTTCTCTCAGATATATCATTTTCTTTTGGTATTTCTGAGTTTATTTTTATATCTGACTTGTTTTCAGTCTTTGGTTTATGCTTTTTGTCAAGTTCACATTTGTCATTATTTTCATCAGAACTACTAAAACTACTTGTACTAGATTTTCTCTTCTCAATATTAGGAAAGTTCATTTCATTTTGAAGTATAATGTTTTTCAAAAGCTCATCTTCATTTTCACTAACTGTTTCTTGTTTTGTATTATCATACGGTTCTAAAACAATATTGGACAATTCAACATCAGATTTTGTGAAATTATCCTCCTCTTCACCAAGTTCATGTAGATTTTGACTTTCAATCACAACTGGCTCTAATGGAATGATCACTTCTTCCTCAACTTCAATAAGATCCTTTGCATTAGCAAAGTCTACAGGAATAACTATTTCAGGATCTTTTAGACTAGGATATAAATATTTGTCAACTGGTCCATCAGGAATAACAAATACCTGAACATCTACTGGACTTGGAATGAATTCATTTTCTTTCTGCAATCCTTCAAATTCAGTCAGAATCTTGTTACACTCAGGAAGGATATATTGGGCTGGCAAAGGCTTAGATTTTGAATCACTGTACAGATCACAAGATGAATCAGTATCACTACTATCACTAGAACTAGAACTCTTCAATTTTTTGTCAAACTTTACATCGTCATTAATTTTTGTATCACTTTCATCTTTACTTGTTTCTTCTATTACAGCATTTTCTTCCATAGAGGCTGACTTTATAACATTTTCAAGTAAAGGAGCTCTGAATGGTTCAGCATCTTCTATAACAGATTTCAAAAGCTCATCATTTTCAACTTCGTTATCAGCATCACTTATTTGATTAGAAACAGTCACTTGCATTTTTTTATTTTCTTCATCTGAATTTTCATCGGATGATGAGCTTGAACGAGACTTTGAAGAAAAGCTGTCATTTCTTGTTTTTCTATTGTTATCATTGTGATTTGGAGCAAAGTCACCAAAACTTGTATCAGATCTGTTTCCCTCTTCATTATCAGCTGCACTTGGAGACTGAACATTTTTACTTTCTATTTCAGTATCAGTACCAGACATATTTGTAATTGAAGCAATTTCATCAATATCTAGCTGCTCATTATAATTATCATTTTCAGAAGAGGATTCATCTTCACTAGAAGAGGAACTTTGGGAACTCGTTGTCTCTTTTTCAATGACATCTTTCTGTTGTACTGGACTTTCCATATGCTCTTCCTCTGGCATACCACTAGAAGATGTTTGGGATTTTGATGTTGTTTCTTTTGCAATGACATCCTTCTGTTTTACTGGGCGTTCAACATTTTCTTTCTCTTCCTCTGACATATCACTAGAAGAAGAACTTGAAGAACTTGATGTTCTCACTTTTTCAATGACATCTTTGTCTTTAACTGGACTTTCAACATTTTCTTTCTCTTCCTCTGACATATCACTAGAAGAAGAACTTGATGTTCTCACTTTTTCAATGACATCTTTCTGTTTTACTGGACTTTCTTCATTCTCTTTCTCTTCCTCTGACATGTCTTTAGAAGATTTTGAAGAATGTATTGTTGTCTCTTTTTCTATGACATCTTTCTGTTTTACTGTACTTTCTTCATGTTCTATCTTTTCCTCTGGCATACCACTAGAAGACGTTTGGGAATTTGATGTTGTTTCTTTTTCAATGACATCCTTCTGTTTTACTGGACTTTCAACATTTTCTTTCTCTTCCTCTGACATATCACTAGAAGAAGAACTTGAAGAACTTAATGTTCTCTCTTTTTCAATGACATCTTTGTCTTTTACTGGACTTTCTTCATTTTCTTTTTCTTCCTCTGACATATCACTAGAAGAAGAACTTGAAGAACGTATTGTTGTCTCTGTTTCAATGACATCCTTCTCTTTTACTGGACTTTCTTCATTTTCTTTCTCTTCCTCTAACATATCACTAGAAGAAGAACTTGAAGAACTTAATCTTCTCTCTTTTTCAATGACATTCTTCTCTTTTACTGGACTTTCTTCATTTTCTCTCTCTTCCCCTGACCCATCACTAGAAGAAGAACTTGAAGAATTTAATGTTTTCTCTTTTTGAATGACCTCCTTCTGTTTTACTGGACTTTCTTCATTTTCTATCTCTGATATATCACTAGAAGAACTTTGCTTCCTTTTATGTAACTTTTCTTGACTGTCCAGAAGCACTTCTATAGTATTGTCAGAACCTACATCATCTATATCTAAATTTTTCTTGTAATTTGATTTTCTTTCTTCCGCAAAATTTTCATCTTTAAAATGCAACTCATTATTGTCACTATCATCTGATTTGCTGCTTGATGTATCATGATGGTCCTTTATCCCTGAATGTGTTTTAAATTCTAATTTTGCTATGTTTTCATAACTTTTGTCAAATGAATCACTTGAGGCTACTTTCTTTTTTGTATCATCTGAAAGATTTGGACTGCATGCATTTAAACTTGCACTTATAACTGGAACAATGCACTCTATATCTAAAATAGGTGTATTATAAGCACTGTCTTTTGAAGAGTCACTAGAGCTTCCATCAGCATTGTGCTTTGTTCCTTTGTCTACAATAACATCATTATCTTCTGAACTATCAGACTTATGAACACTTCCCGAATCAGGATAATCTTTACTTAAATGTATGTTCATCTTTTCTTTCCCATCATGAGAACTAGCATCTGATGACTTCTTTCTAATACCAAAGTTCTCAGATGAATTAGATTGACTAGATTCACTATCTGAGGTAGAGCTACATTTCATTTTCCTGACCATCATGCCTGTGTTATCAATAGACACTTGGTTTGGATCAATGTCAAATCCCTTAACATCCAACATAGGATCAGTTTTACTGACATCAGAATAGTTTCTGCTTTTCCTATCAAGCTCCAATTCCTTTTCCTCATCTGTATCACTATGCTCTTCATCAGCTTGATAATCTTTATCTTCATATCTAGCATCCACTTTCAAACTTATACTGGGTAAAAAATATTCTGGACTTTCCAGACTGCATTGATGAATATCATATGATTCTGTTACAGGCTTTAACTTAGAGATAACATTAGGTTTACTCTGCTCTGAGTCACTTGATGAACTACTTACACGTTTAGCCATACTTGCACCTTCATCAAAAATGACAGCATCCTCCCCAGGGATATTTATGCTTATAACATGTGCATCTTTCATGTCCTCAGATTTAGAGGACTGGTTGCTACCAGTTGATGTTTTTCTGTCTGAATCTTTATTTTGACTACCCTTTTCACCATTTCCTTCAGAACTACTTTGATCCTTAGATGATGCTTCATCACTTCTGCTATTTCCTTCACCACCCCTATCCTCACTATCAGTATCTGAATCTTTCTGGCTAGATTCTGAACTGCTAGAAGAAAGATACCCTTGCCTTTTTTTCTTTTTCCTCTTTTTCTTTTGCTTCTTTTTCACACTTGGTACAGAATCTCCTGATGATAAAACTTTATCGGCCATAACCACTTCTTTCACATCTTTGAAACCCTCTGCATCTTTATCATCAACTTCTATACTTTGCTCATTTAAAAGTTTTTTGTTCTCTGTTTCAATCAGCTTTTCATCATCATCTGAGCTATTGCTGGATACAGATCTAGATGCTTTTAAAACAGATTCCTCCTGATCATTACTATAATCACCTTCTATTTCAGCACTCTTTATGTTGGTACTATTTTTTACTTCTTCAGGCATATTTTCATCTTTATCAATGCCTGCCTCACTGATATTATCAATGACTTTGCATCCTTCACCTTCAAAATGTTCACCTGAATCCCCTTTGACATCTGAATCAGCTTCATTTTCATCATCACTCTTCATGTCTTTCTCTAAATCTCTAATAATTGTTTTAAGACCTTCTTTCAGATCTTCTTTTTCTATTTCTGCTGATGATTGTGATGATGGTGATGATGAAACAGAACTTTGCTTCGGTATAGATTTTTTATCCTCTTCATTTTCAGAGGATGAATCTCCTGCCTTATCCAGTTTCTCTATGTCCGGATCCACTTTGAATGTAGTAATGTCTAGGCTAGTATTACCTTTTTCTTCTGCAGATTTTGTGCTTTCCTGCTCTTCACTTACTTTATTATTATCAATCATAATGCAACTAGTGTTGTCAAAACCTGTATCTAAATCTTTCTTTGAAACTTTAGGTGAAGATGAAGGACTTGTTTCTCTGCTAGAAGAAGAGGAAGATGATGAGGAAGAGTCTTTCTTTTCAGGTTCTGAACCATCATCAGCATTTTTTATTTTAATATTGTCATCAACACTACCTGGCAGTTGCTTATCAATGCCAACTTCCCTATTTTTCATAATTTCTTTTTCCAGTTGTTCATCTTTGACTTTCTTCAGAGGCTTGACTCTGGCTTTTACAGCACCGAAAATTGAGTTACATTTTCTAATTGCTTCCTCTTGTTCCTCTTTAAACTTTGATGGCTTTTTATTTTCAATATGCTTAGTATCCTTGTCATCTTTATCTTCTGATAATGACGCAGATTCAGTTTCCGTGCAAGTTATCATCTTATCCTCAATAAAACTTTCAGGTCTTCTATTCATTTCCTTTTCGTCTAGCTGTAACTTTGGTTTGTTGTTCTTCTCTTTACAACTCTGGACATACTGCATTATTTTAGATCCAGGACGTTTATTAACAGCTTTTAATTCAGCCTCTTTATTTGAAGGTATGTATTGTACTTCCTTTTCTGCTTTTAAGTCTGTAACAGTATTTGCAACACAGATTTCTTCTACAATATCAGGTTTAGTTAGCACTTCTTGTGATTTTGGGTTTGCAATTTTCTTTCCAATTAACGACAGAATGGATGATTTCTTTTTCCCACTAGGGGGCTTGCTATCTTTAACATTACCTTCATTGCTAGCTGTATTAAAAGAATCACTTTCACTACTACTTCTACTGCTTCTTGGCGACAAAAGCTTGGGGGTTTCAACTGTGTCATTCTTTTCACAAGAACTTTGAGCTGAAAGGGGTTTCACAATAACAGGCAACTTCTTATTATTCTTGGTAGGTGTAGGTGGACGAGAAGATGAAGTTGAATTAAAACTGTTACTTCTTTCAAGCTCTTTTTCTTTCTTTGCACTTTCTTTTTCTTCTGCAGTTAGCTGTTGTGAAACTGGTCTTACTTTAACCTCAAATGAGTCTCGCCTTTTGATTTTAGGTGATGGTGGCTTTTTAATTGGTTCTTGCCAAATATTTCTTGTCCTGTCTCCATCAGCTGAGTCTGCTCTAGTAGGAGATGACATGATTAAAGATCGCCTTGGTGATGGTTTTCTCTTTAAAGATTCTCTTCTTTGTAACTCATTCTTCTGTTCTTGAACATTTTTCTCTTCATCTGAGAGCGTTGGTTGCTTTTCAAGAGATTTAACTTCAACAGCAACTTTATCATTGAAGGAGCCACTTCTTCTAAGCCCTGGAGATTCTTTATCCTGCTGATTATCATTTAAGCTCCCTTCAAGATCAGAAACAGATTTATGAGAAAAGTCTGGTTTTGATTCCAGAGGTTCTATGTCTACATTCAGTTTTGCCTGTTTTTTCCTGTGAAATCTTGGTGGTGGAATAGGGGGTTTATCTTGATCTGTATTTCTTTCTTTTTCACCTTCATTATATTTAAGTTCTATGGACATAGGCCGTACTGCTAATTTTCTATCCTGAAATGTATGCCTTCTGGACACATGCCTTCCTTTAAAAATTGATGCAGGGTTCACAGGAACTCTTTCTTTATCATATCTATCTTCCTCAAGTGAAGAAACATTATTCTTTAGTACAACAGTACTTGCAGGTGACATTTCTGTATTTTGGACATTATATTTTTTGATTGGTAGCTCTACCTGAGGTTGGTCAATTGGGTGTGTTTCATATACATTTTCTGGTGCTTCGGCATTATTTTGGGAAGTTGGCGAAGTGCTCTGAGAAATTTTGCGAATATATTCAGCAACGGATCCAGGTGCTGGATTTTCAGGAAGACAATCATGAAGTTTTTTCAGGTGTTTCTTATCATCCGACAGAGGAGATGTAGGGGATTGAAGGAAAGGAGAAGCTATTTTCTTTCTATATATATTTCCTGTTGGAGAATTTAATAGTTTACTCTTATCTGGCTCGACATTTGTAGAAGATTTTCTATCAAACATTTGTAATTTACTCCTGAAGTCAGTATCTGAATCAGATGACCCCTCTGCTTCTTTTGATCCATCAAACTTTTTCTTTATTGGCCTGGTTGAAAACTGCAGCTGACGGAACATTGCCAGTTTTCTAGCTTTTCTGTCTTCCAAATCAGGTGTTTGTGGGGGAGTATTTACCGGAGTTGCTTCTTTATTTGACACGTTTTCTTCTTTACTTGATAAATCAGCACTTAATCTCTTCTGATCTTCCATCTTTGAAGTTATAGACTGTGCCATCTTCTTTGACATTAATGCAGCCTTTTTCATTAAATCTGTATCAACATTTGCAAAATATTTAGATTTACCTGTATCTATTTCTATAACAGATGTGTCCTCTGTATTTGCAGCTGGCTGTTCCTCAACTTTATTTGACCATTCTAATTTAATGTCTGACACAGCAGGTTTTGCAAATATTGTTCCATCATCAGAAACATTTTTTACATTACTTTCAGTAACTTCTGCATTACTGGACATTATGACCGGTTCAACTTCAAGTTTTTCTGCAGAAATTGAATCATCTGAAGTTTCATGATTCACTGATTCATTAGAATGTTGTTCATCAATAACTTTGCTCGTATCAATAGGAACATTTGACTTGCAGACCTCTGTGTCATGTTTGTTATCTGCTTCAACTTCTGAGTCAGAGGAAGAGGAAGAACTTGAGGATGAAGAGGATGACATTTTTTCATTAATTTTCGGAATATTTCTTTCATTCTCAGTTTGTTGCTTAAACTCTGTCTTCAACCCAACTGGGACATTCATATCACCCTTGGTTTCTGAATCTTTCAATCCAACCGGGACATTCATATTGTCCTTGGTTTCTGAATCTTTCAATCCAATTGGGACATTCATATCGTCCTTGGCTTCTGAATCTTTCAATTTAACTGGGACTGTCATATCGTCCTTGGTTTCTAAATCTTTCAATCCAACTGGGACATTCATTTCGCCTTTGGTTTCTGAATCTTTCAATCCAACCATGACATTCATTTTGTCCTTCGTTTCTGAATCTTTCAATCCAACTGGGACATTCATATCATCCTTGGTTTCTAAATCTTTCAATCCAACCGGGACATCTTTATCATCCTTAGTTTCTAAATCTTCATTTGAACAGCTGTCTGACTTTTCATTTGAAGATGATGATGATGATGATAATGAACGTTTTCTTTCCTTTTTTGCATTCTCTATCAATTTTTCAGTAGATTCATGTTGTGGGGTTTCAGTTATTGGCAGATCAACTTTGCTTTTAACATCTCCCACCTTGCTAGTGTCTGAATATTGACTGTCAATAAGTTGAGGAGGACCAATACTTGGAAGGGCTGGTGGTTCACATTCACTGTCTGAGCTTGAACTTGATTTTGATCCGTCAGAATTTTCAACATAATCATCTCCTTTTTCCAAAGTCTTGATTTCATAATTTTTTTCTTCTTCAACAGGTATAAATTCTTTTTCATTAAGGGAGGTAGATACGTCAATCTGTTCTTCCCAATTTGCGCTTTCAGCTGGTGCATTAAATTCTATCTCCAAGTCCTTACCTTCCAAACAAATTTCTGCCTTTTGATTAACTATGGCTTTCTCAGGATGATCATTCTTTAACATATCTTTTGCTAAAATATTGGCACAAACATTTTGCTTAACTTCATCATCAGAATCAGATTGAGATGATGACGATGAAAGCTTTTGCCATGTCACCGCTGTATCAGGCAGTTGGCTTAACTTGTCTGTATCAACACCTTGCTTTTGCTCTGGCTCAATTACTTTAGGCTCCTGCTCAACACATGCTTCTATCATTTCTAAATGTTTTTCATCATCAGAGCTACTTGAAGAACTTCCCCCTGACATTTGTGATTTCAAACAAGAATCTTTATGTTCAACTGTTGATGAAATCTCATTGGATGCTGGATTTCCAAGCATCAAGGCATGATCTTTATCAGATATGATTCCATCTGTGTTATCATCAGAATCTGAAGTTGACTGTGAGCTTAAACTGTGACAAGGGGCATGTTTAGTTACCTTGATATTTGCCTCTGGTCTTAAATGATCATTATCATTTTCAATTGTATCTTTAACAATTTCATTATCATCATTTACATGTTTAGGAATTTCAAAATTATCATCAACTGGTTGCTCTAAGTATATATCATTATTATCCATATTCAATCCACTTTCAACTTCTTTTACAATAGAAGGAAGCTCTTTTGTTATTTCTGCAATTAGTTCTGGATTTGAGTGTACCTCATGAAAAATATTTTCAACAAGTTCAGCAGCAAAGCTTTCCTCTGCATTTGTTTCACTTTCAGAGGATGTACTCATACTATCTGAAGCATCTTTAACTATTTCAATATTTATATGTTCATCTTGTTTCAAAAAACTTTCCTCAACATTAGTTTCACATTCTGATGATGAGCTACTACTACTCTCTGAAACTGTTTTTGCATTTTCACCAACTTCATTACTTAACTGTTTATCAAGTGCATAGTTAGTTTTGTCAGACTGATCCAGTACAGCATCAACATTTTCTTTTTCTGCTTCAGTAGCATCTGTTCTAGTTAAATCAACAGAATATACATTTGTTTCTTTATCATTTCCAGGAATATTATTATTTACAGATAAAGAACTATGCATATTAGGCTGTTCTATAGTGTCTTCATATTTCTCATTTTCACTGTCAGATGAACTTGTACTTTTCCGGCTATCTCTAACCTTTTCATCAGTTTTTGCTTCAACAGTCTCCTTTGGGTCTGTTTCACTATCAGATGAAGAACTACTGCTGTCTGAGCTATTTTTAGCTGCCTTTAATTCATTTGCCGTCACCTTATCTGATGTCATGCTATTTGAATGTGAATTGCTATCAGGGTCAAAATCAGCATCATTATCAGATGAAGAGGTGCTTTTATCTTTATTTTCATTAAAATACAACGTTTCATCACTGTGAGAATCTGTTGGAATTTCATTGGAATTTATTTTATTTGGCTCGGAAATTTCATTTCCTGGTGAATGAATTTCAGTGTCAGAATTATCAGCTGACTTTGAATCAATAATATTTACATCCACTATTGTAAGATCACCTTTATTCAGTTCATTATTTAACAATTCAACAGTTTCCTGGGTACATGCATCTACGTCTGCTTGACATTCTACTGTTTCACCTTTATCTGAACTGTCTTGAATGTGATCATTTATTGGTGTTATATCTTTTATTGTTTCTTTCAGTACCTCAGTATTTGCTGTTCCAAAACCACTATCACTTCTTGAAAGGCCTGGCTTTAAAACTTTTTCAGCATAATCAGTCTCAGCATTTTCCATTTTATCAGCTTTTGTATCATCAACAGCTATGTCATTTTTATTCACATTCAAGTTCGGACAGAATTCTTCATAAGATTCATCCTTGACATAAGTATGCTGATCATTATCAATTTTCTTCATCTCATTGCTATCTTCATTATTGACAGTTTCATTTACTTCATCATTATCATCACCTACAGTTGTTGCAGCAACTGCAGTTATTCCAGCATACACAACAGCCTGAATCACTGCACCTTTCTTGGCTATTTTAATATCATCAATTTCGTTTTTACAAGCTTCATTGAAAGTTCCAATTTTTTCACTTTCAGATTCTAATAATTCCAAATTATCTTTGTACAAATCCTCAATATCATCATTTGTATCAACTTCAACATCTGCGCCATTCTTATCATCTATTTCTTTTCTATCTGCTACTTCCGCAGTTGGTTGTGACTTATTTTGAATATCAACATTTTTGGAGTCTTCAGTCTTTGACTTATCAACATTTTCATGGTCTAAAGTTGAACCTGTTTTAAGTTGAGCTGTCACCAGAACACTTTCAGGCCAACCAGGAGGCATATCAGGAGGATCGTACATAAATTTATCTTGAAATTGTTCATAGAATTCAGATAGATATGTTGCTATGCTAAGTCTGTCTGGGGCTTCCATAGTTACCATATCAATGGGATCTAGGAATTTTGGAATTCCAAACTCTCTCTCTGCAACAGTGAATGCTAAATCGTTATTATAGAACACATTTTCCGGTGAAAGAGAGTAGAAATCTATCAGATCTGGTCGAAACCGATTAATCATTGCACAAAGAGCCATTCCATTCTTCCAGGAGGATGTCATATTTGTAATATCCACTCCTTCATAATCCTGTGTCACTTTCCTACACCACTTGAACAATCCCTTTACTTTTCCTGGCATTGTGATTAACTTTTCTTTAATTTCTATTCAATCACTGATGATCTTTTTTTCAATTTATTCATGTTTATGTCAAAAATTTAAATTTATTATCCATTCTTTATCAATCTTCATACTGTTCTAAAGGCAATATTTAAGTTGTTCCAAAATAGTGTTGTATAAATCCATTCTTTCAGTAACATCCCAAATGTTCTTGCTTAAATCTGATCATATTTGATTGTACATTATTCCTTTTGTTTCACTTCCCTATACACTCATATTTATTCTTTTCAACAATGTGTTTATTTTCCGAAAAAGGTCACAAGTTCCTGCCTGTAAAACAAATGAATCAGAAACATTTTCTAACTCAGTGCAGAAAACAAACAACAACATACAGAAAACGTTTCTTAAATCACAAACATTCTACTGCTTGAAATAAAACAATAAATAAATTACATGCAATAACTTACAACTATTTGACTTTTTTTTTTACTTATCTCTCATTCTTGTTTGCATGTTTTAATTGAAAGTAATTGACAATACAGCAAAAACATTAGCTATTAAATGATAAAAATTTATTTATTTTCCCAACATAAAAATGTTAAATATTTTCTGCACTGAGTAACAGTTATGAAAAAAAATTAAATTACTACAAAAAGTTCAAACTAATCTCAGCAACTTTCTGCCAATTAAGAAGTATTAAAAAAAATTTTTGGATTCCATTATTTTTTGCATCAAAAGTCAGTAATTGTATTTATAATTGTCGCTTTTAATTATTCACATTTAAAGTACACTTCTTTATTTTCCTTTTCCTGAATAATTTCAATGTGAAAAAAAATCAAGTTCATTTTAACAACAAAATTATAATACACGAGTATAAATTTATATATTGAATAAAAATATTAATAAATTTACAAAATAAATAGATAAGTATATAAATAAATAAATATATAAATTAAAATAAATAAATAAATAAATAAATCAAAATAAATAAATAAATAAATAAAATAAATAAATAAATAAATAAATAAAATAAATAAATAAATAAATAAATAAATAAATAAATAAATAAATAAAATTATTACTTATAAAAAACAAAATGTGCTTATCAAAATCAAGCCTGTATACGACATCAAATAATCTAAACTTCTTTCTCCCATCCATCACATTTCCTGATCTTAAACCACCAAAAAAATATCACCAGTTTTTTTTACTCACACAAAAAAAAATCAAAAAAAAAAATTCACAATCCACAAATTCTTTAGCCTAATCCCATATCGGCATCTTCTACCACATTTACCACTGATACAAAAGTAAAAGTATTATAACCACGGACTTTAAGAAACAATTATCAAGTTTCAACTGTTGATTTACTCTTCATAAATGTTTACAAGGATTACTTTAAAATTACTCTGCAAACATTTAAACAAATTGTTCATCTCCTAAATCCAAATTTTTATCACATCTCTAGTCCATCTATCAAGTTGTAAATATTTTCCCTTTACGTCTATTTGAGAGAGGTCCATGGATGGGGGATTGAAATAGATACCACAAAAAAATAAAAATAAGGTTTGGCCACCACAATAAGGTAAACCTTGTGCATGATCCCCTTACTAAGAGAGGGCAGTAAAATGAAAATTTGAAAATCAATCTAGTTATTGTTTTATAGTAAAGTATTTAGCAAAACTTGAGGATATCACATATACAGCATTTTTCCCAATCAGTTGAAGCATCTGTAACAAAACACTGCTATGAAATTCAAGACATAAGCCAAGTTACCTTTTACTACTAGTATTGTAGTATAGTACAAATCAAATTTAAATCTTTTTTTTTCCCCTTAATGAAGATATCTGTAAATGCATTACTGCTCATTCAACCAAAGCATGCTTTATCCATGTGACCAAAGCAGACCATGCCCTCTGATCATAGTCTGCACTGTTCCACATTTGCAAACTTTCCCTAAAATTATGTATGTTTTTGTTCAGATTGAAAAGACGGACAAGTCCATTTAAGATATTTAGTTGGGTAACATTTAATTAATGGACTAGATTAAACATCAGAATAATTGAAACCTTTTCTACTATTACAGTACTTAATCTATGCAATGAAGTTGACAAAAGTTTCTGCAATATTGTCCAAATATTGCAAGGGACTAGAGGCTGGTCAGACTGTGTAACTATTAATGTACAAGCTAAATGATAGCAAACAGCTATGCTGTATTGCATTAAGTTTAAGCTCACTTCTTTACATAGTTTGAAGCAATTTGAAACTAATATCGTCAGTTTGCTACTGATGCAAAAAGATATATATTTTTATCTTCTTTATTGTTTTAGTTACATAATTGAAAAAGTAAATTTATCATTACATTGCAAAACCAAAAACTGTTCAATGACCTTTGATTATTAAATAAATTATTAATTTTCTTCCTCTAAATGTGATACAAATCATATCAAAAACCCCATCATTTATAAGATATACTACCACATTTTAAAACAAACAAGGAAGTTAATACATAAATACATCATTACTAATCTATTTTGACAAGTTACATCTTTTTCTCTAAACTGATGGATTACATCATCAATTACATCATCAATTAAGTTAGATCTATATGTGACATGAAATTTTAACCAAACTGCCCAATTAAGGTAAAATAGTGCACACAAATTGTGCAATTAAATATGCCCATCATTTTTCTTTACATCAAAAAGCAATGTTTTGTTCCATTAATTAAATTATTTAATATTGAAATGTACATTTTGTTTTTACACAATTAATAACAGTAAAAGAAACAAAATTCAAATTCAAAATGTATAAATTCTGAATTCTATATAGTCCACTATTTCTTTGAATTAGACAAAGATTGATTTCCTTCAAGATGGGAAAAGTACCACTCCACCTCCACTTTGAAACACATTTAACTCAATTTTACCGGTTAAAAGAAAACAATTTCAAGTTGTTGATTTACAACTAAGCCTTAACTAGTTTTCTGGACTAATTAATAAATAATAACCAATTATAAACAAGATCACCAAAATTAATGTGTCAAACTTTCAGCCTATTGAATTTCCCTTAAAATTAAAGCAACAATGAACAAAAGTAACAGAGAAATAACAACTGAAACAACAACTGACTCAGGAACAATCAGAATAACTTAATAACTGAGAAAAAACAATAACATTAAACAACAATTACCAAAATCACCAGCGAAGCACTTATCAAATTTCAACTAAAAACGCAATGATCAAAAATTAAAACACAAACACAATTATAATTACCAAAATTAGTTACACATTAACATACAGCAAGTTGCCTCAAACTCGACATAGACAAATGGCCCCGTCTAATGAATGGTTACCTAGGTATTTTAAATGACATCACTGTATATATATGCAGAGTCAGACCAACATTCCTTTCTTACTACCAAATATCACATATAGTAAATTCTTTCTCACACCTTCCGCAACGTTTTGGTATCAATACAGTTGTTGTTATTCATCCTCATGCACAAAAATACCAAGACAATTTTTGTTTTGGTGGTTGACATCTATTTGTGTTTTATGGGTATTATAGTTTTTGATCTAGAATTCCTGGTGACATGATTATGGTCCAAGCCCATATAACTCGAAAAAGGCTTAAACAGACTTCACATGACGAGACTGGAAATATTTTTTTCAGATTTTCATACCATTTGATGGACCAGTAGGTCTATATGTGCAAAATTTCAGATAATTCAATTAATCCATTCTTCCGGCGAAATTTTTTTTATTGTGCGAAAAAAAACCTTAAAATGAAGTCTTTAAAATTTTTAATGACCTTAGTTAAAATTGCTATAAGAAGAGCACTAAATATTGATTTTTTTTAAATTTTATTCTGAGTAAATGAACTAATATAGTGTATTATTTTATATAGTGTATTTTTTATCATCTTTTACTGAACAAACAAGCATTTAGTCACACAAACACGTACATTTATTTTAGTAATTATTTTTTAATGCAAACATTTCGGCTACATGATTTCATCAGTGCACAACATGGTTTTATTATTCTTTTTTACATGTACCAGCTAATCTATGTGATATTTTCAAATTTTATCAGGTTTTTAGGCTTTTGGACCTCAGGGGGCTGCTCTTTTAAAAAAAACATGGTGCCTTCATTTAAGAGATTTATACATTCTAGATTACTATATTCGTCGATGTTTTCTTCAATGATTTGGTTTAAAAAAAGGGCGTTTACAACAGTAAATTACTCAAAAAAAATGTTTGATATAAAATTAAGGTTAAAACTTATATTGATTGTGATCCTTTTCTTTACCCTTGTTATTCGAATAATCACTTGAGTTGGTGAAACGTGGAACAATTTCAATTCAATTATGGGAACAATGAAACCTACAATCACCATTTTCACTTTATACACCAATTTAGTTATAACTCTTTCAAATTATACAAAGACTTTATGTTCAAGCTCAAGTCAATTTTGCTTTACAACATAATTAGATAGACATAATTATAATTATCTTCATATAACTGTGTTAAATCTTCCTGTCACTCGGAACAGAAAGAAAAATCAAAATCTATAATAACTAGGTAATGATCACTCCAATTTTCTTACTCTAGTTGAATCTTTTGTGTTATACAGTTTTTTTTATAACCAAGTGTTCAAAAAGGAGGCACATTTATCAAGTACATTTCATACTAAACTTAAAGTCATGATTATAGTTATAGGAACTTAAGCTTCAAGTCACTGTTATTGGAACTTAAGCTTCAAGTCACAGTTATTGGAACTTAAGCTACAAGTCACAGTTATTGGAACTTAAGCTTCAAGTCACAGTTATTGGAACTTAAAGAATCGTACTTAAGCTTATAGTGACTGCTATTGAAACTTAAGCTTAAAGTTACTGTTATTGGAACTCATGCTTCAAGTCAATGCTATTGGAACATAAGCTTCAAGTCACAGTTATTGGAACTTAAACTTCAAGTCACAGTTATTAGAGCTTTAAAGCTCAAAGTCACAGTTATTGGAACTTAAGCTTCAAGTCACAGTTATTGGAACTTAAAGAATCGTACTTAAGCTTATA